TGATAAAACGGTACAACCGAGCTGGCACAGCTAGTGAGATGCGCGGTGCAAAGATGATGACGGTGACAAGGCGGCTACACGAACATATACGTACATGCATGCACGCATCATGTATACTTCACATACACAGTACTACACATACAATACTATACACAACCGTAATAAATAGGGGTGAACTAAATAGGGGTGAACGTTGGCACTGAGATCCCGAGTTTCAGTACTCTGATTTCAGTATTCAAGCATTCTTCATATCCTAAAAATTTCAAATCAAGGGTCTTAATGATAGCTTTCATGCCGTCCTACCGTTCTACATGTATGTCCAGTGCATTGCATACATGCAATCTTATCAAAATTTCAAATCAAGGGTCTTAATGACAGCTTGTATGCCGTCCTACCGGTAGGACCCAAGAAATCGCGCTGCAAAAGTGCTTTTGGTTGAGAATGTTTTTGAAACAATTGTTGAGATGATGTCATTGTCTTTGTAGGGCAAAGTAATGATGCAAAATACAAGACTACATGTATGTCCAGTGCATTGCATACATGCAATCTTATTAATTGCCAAAATGGCCGCACATGTTCCTGTCGGAGCGCTACCAACTCCGTCCAAAGTGAATTTTGACCATAGCACATGATCGATCGTGGTGAGGACCTAATGTCTTTCTCAGCCTTCCACGGCAGTGGAATGCAAAATTCCATACTCCATTTCCATGGTTACCATGGACTGTTGCCATGGAATTTCGTAATTATGCCTTGTTGGATCACGTCTAAAATTTGTGGAGCCCCTTAGCAACAGTTTAGGGTCAAGTTCTAGGTCAATGTTAGAACAGAGGCCATGCAGCTTGTCGGTGTATGATGGTCATACTATTCCGGTAGGTCCAACCGGTAGGACTGAGGTCTATGCAAGGTATCATTAAAAATCACATGATACAACGACGTACCCTGATCGAACCAGGTTGGCAGTCATTTTTCTCGGGCATACTGGTTGTTGGGTCATTTGGGCTCTCTCTCTCTCTCCCTCTCTCTCCCTCTCTCTCTCTCTCTCTCTCTCTCTCTCTCTCTCTCTCTCTCTCTCTCTCTCTCTCTCTCTCTCTCTCTCTCTCTCTCTCTCTCTCTCTCTCTCTCTCTCTCTCTCTCTGCCGACTGCTGCTCTGAAACTGCAGATTTCTGTGGTAAATACATGCACGGTGCATGAACGAGTGCTCTGATTTATCCAGAGTACAATTATTTTTTCAAAAAACCGAGCGAGTACTAGAATATTCGGTACACGAGTAATTGCTACACCCCCTAATAGTAATGATAAATGAAACCCATACCCTGGTTTCCCTTTGCCTATGTAGAACTCCTTGTGGAACATTCTCACAGTCTTCCACCCCTTCTATCTCGTCAGATTCTCTCTGTCTGTCTCTGTTTCCCCTATGCATGCTGTGCACAGATGTAAGTTTGCAGCGAACGGCAAACCGTAGTCATCGCGGATAACCAAACAGCAGGCAAAAGCCTAGGAGCGCCACTATGGGGGTGTCTGAGGTGTCTAAGGTCGCACCATGAGTACGCATATATGCGCAAGCGAAACTACCCCATATTTGCATAAAGTACCAGCGCTATTAATGCAATGCTTACTACAAACAGGGCTCATGGTGCCTGGTCTCTATATTAGGAAGCAGGTCCGGGTAGGACGGCATGCAAGCTATTCATGGCACGAAAGGACTCCAGCGTGCGAACTAAGCCTCAGCCAAGGTGCAGTACAGTACTAACCGGGCATGCGAGATACAACCGTAACCAGGCGGTACTGGGAAAGGACTAGTGCCAGCCTGCCAGGCAGAGACAGGCGGTACGGCTGAGCAAAGCATGCTATGCGTGGAAGAGGCGAAGTCCCCGGTCAAGGAACAGCAGGCAACCCTCGTTGATTGCATAATCACGTGGCAAAAACAACAAAATGCAACCCCATTCTATGGTGCTATGATGTGTGTGTGTCTCGGTGGAGGGGCGATAAGCTCTCTTTTGCTCCTTCCTGCCCCCCCCCCCCCCCGCCCAAGAAGAAACGGAAGCAGCGTATCACCTACTCAACATACACATTGACCGGTTGTCTGTACAGCACAGTCATTAACAAGCACTGGAGACAGAGCATTGCATGAGTACAATAGCTATGGCTTGGAGAATAGCAATTCCTCTTCAAAGATCATGCAGGCCCCTTATGTATCACACCGCGGCTCGACGCTTACCTGGCTCTTCTTCAGAGGAACAGTGACGATGTTATCCGGTATGAGGTACTTGCCGTCCGGTGTTATCTGGCACTTGTCATACGTCATGGCCATCACCCAGCCCATGTCCTTGTTAGCCAGACTGTCCCAGCCAGTTCCTGGCAGTGCCTCCAAGCGCTGGCTCACACCTGAGCAGTAATGAACATGCACATGCAAACAGACATACGTGAAGATACCAAAATGCACTCACATGTGCAAGGGTATAGACACTGAAGCGCCAAAGGACCACACTCAATACATGTACAGTAGGCTGCACATTCACGAGTTTCCGGAAGTCTACACAGGTGGAACCTCGATAACTCAAGCCACAAAATGCCAGTGAAAACTATCCGGATATTCAAATTACCCAAATAATACGTTTGTCAAAATGCTCGCATTGTCAAGCAGAATTGCGCTTTGCACCGCAGATGCAGATTTCCTTGACCAGGGATTTCATGGGACTTCTAATTATTACACACAAAAAAAACAGTCCATATAGATTGATGTACCGCAGAGGGTTAAGCCGCTAGTTACATGCCCAGTTCGAGGTTTGAATTATTGGACATTGTAATGTGGGAACCATATTGCTTGAAATCGGTCCTGGAAGAAACTTCTAATGGTAAATAAAAATATTGGGGTGTGTTCGAATCGAGCTACATCCAAATTATCAGGATCCCACCTGTAATATATACTTCTATTTCGATGGTGCAGCGGAGGCTGCGTGGTGGCCTGCATGTTTTTGAGTGTGACGCAGCACAGCACAGAGTGCAGGGAAACTGGATATCGAACATGGTTGAAGAAGCGGTCACGTGCTCCTGCGTACACCAGTCAGCTGGTCACCGTGCCTGCAGGGTACAACTTACTAGCCTGTTTGACCTTTTTTGGGTGCAGTCATGTCACTCGAGTTGAACTCGAGTTGAACCTTGGTGTGAAAGTTGTCGCCTGCTGGCGTGGTGACCAGGTGATTTGGGCACCCAGGAGCACGTGACCACTTGTTCAACCATGTTCGATTGGGAATAAAGGAGGAACGCTGCATCGCAGCCTTTTCGGACCAAAACCAGTCGACTCAGCGTCCAAAAGACTACAACATATGGGCCAATCGCGGTCATCTGTGCTTTTATAAGAACGAAACGGCGCTTTTAGTGACATTTTGCATACAAATCCCCATCTAGTAGGGCGCAGTCACCCAGTTTCGGTGGAAGTGCGCGAGTTCGATTGGGATTCAAGTAGGAAGGGAGCGTCTCAGCTTTCTCGGACCAAGACCATTCGACTCAGCACCCTGAAGACTACAACTGGTGAATTTTTATTTTTTGCCGCTTAACTTCCCCTTTAAAGCAATCATGTCGATTTATTATGCGTGGTGGCGAGTGAAATCCAACCCCATGATTACCGGAGAGCGGCATTCACTGCACCGCCCTACTGTTGGCAGTGCTTGGGTTGTGTAGTCCCCTTTGCTGCCGTATCAATGTTGTTATTTCGTTGTTGTTGCTGTTGGATTTCACTTTCCAGCACTGTGCCGTATTTCCCCGATTATACTTTGAAGTATGTCACACTCCCATGTTCAGGTCTGCGGCCATATTGCTTGATACATTCACTTCAGTAGTAAGTTTGTTTGTTTGTTTGAAGTTTTATTTTTCATCGCAAACCAAACGGGCGTTGATGCCCAATATTATGATGGCGATAGAATAAAAAGCGTGGCTCGATAAAGCTGTATTGAGAAAATGAGAAAACAGTCAATAGAAATATAATGTTTGTCTCTTTCCCTCAAACCAGTTAAGAAATATATGTACCGGTAATTACAAGCCAAGTTCGAACAGAATTAACAATCAGAGAGAAATATGAAGATGAGGACCGATGCCAGAGGGAGGTACTATTCGGCCATATCAACCGTAGAAAACACTTTCAGCAATCTTTTAAACGGGGTTGGACGACGAGTGGACGTGAGTTCCTGAGGCAGGGTGTTCCAAAGCTTCACAGCGGAAACCAATGGTTGACTGTCGTCAGATGTTCGCCGAGTTAGTGGCACAACGTATTTGCAATTGTCATTGCCACGGGTGTTACTGGGAGGTTGGAGGGCTACTCTATCTTTCAGAAGAGGGCTGATGCTGCTGGTGTGGACACGGTACATAAGGAACTGGAGTTTGCATTTGGCACGTTCAATTACAGGGGTCAGGGAAAGGCGAGTGTATAGGAGTGGTATGGGACGGGAAGGGCAGATTGGCTACGCAGCGAACACATCGCTTGTCTAGGACAGTGAGCTGGTACCGCTGCTGAGCCGTGAGTGCAGAGAAGAACGTGTTTGATCCATGAAGCATGTCAGGAAGGATAAGGGCAGAATAGAAGAGGAGCGACTGGTGTAAAGATAGCGATGGGCGGATGGTTCTCAGGGTGGTTAGCTTCTGGGACATTTTACGTACTATGCTGGAGACCTGCACGTTCCACTGAAGACAGGGATCGATATGTAGGCCCAGAAAGCGAGCAGTGGTGGTCTGGGTGAGAGGCGTCCCGTTGCAGTCAATGTTGAGTTCCAGGGTACTGCGGCGTGATACCTCAATGGCTAAGACCTGCGTCTTTTCAGGGTTTAAAACCAGGCCTTTCCCGTGTAGGTAGTCAGCCAAATTTGACACAGCAACTAACAAGACTTGATTTAGGGTTGCTACGGATCTGCTTGCGGCCGGTGGCGAGAAGGATGTCATCCGCAAACAGCTGGGAGTGTGCTGGGCTGGTGACGCTATGGACGTCCATGGTGTTGAGTACGAAAAGGACGACGACATATTCTCCAGACATTACAATGGACAACGGGAACAGGTTAGGCTGAACAACATTTATTAGGGAGACGAAGAGACTGAGACAAAGACGAACGAAACGACGACATTGTGGAAGAGAGAGACAAGAGAGAGAGAGATCAAGTGTGAATGGCAAGATAAAGGGCCTGGGTAGCTATGGCAATTATGGGCGCGCAAGTAGCTACCCAGGCCAACGGAACAAAAGGAGACAAAAGGTGAGTATGAGAGTGCATGCAGGCCAGCTTGGATAAGGTTGTAGAACGTACGGGAGGAGGTACCTAACAATGGTATATAGTGAAAGCAGCAAAGGACCCAGTACACTACCCTGATGGACTCCACACTCGCATGCAGTCAGGCCCAAGCACTGCCCACTCGCCAGAACTACTCTCCGTAGACGGTCCCTGAAGTAGCTCCCAAACCAATGCAATGCAGCCGAAGATACACCCAAGGCAAAAAAATCTTGGATCATGAGCGGGTGCTGTACTTTATCGAATGCCTTGCTCATGTCCACTAGTACTGCGCCAGTATATAGCTGGTGGTCTGCTGACGACAGGTAGCGGTCCATGGCCAAGGTCAAGGCATCTTCCGTGGAGTGTTGTGGCCGGTACGCAAACTGATTTGCGGGCAAAAGTGAATGGGTTGATAAGAAGTCACACAGGCGTTTGTGGACTATCCTCTCCAAAATCTTCGATGCTATTGGCAGTCATGCTCGATTGTAAGTCTCAACCCCTTTCTTACCCTTGAATTTTAGTCACGGTAGAAAGGTGCAACTTACTGTCGTGGAGATGGAAATCCGGTCGATTGACCGGGGCCGGCGCCCTCAGCGCGTACAGAACGCTGCGTGCAGATCACATGTTGATCCGATGCGACTAGCGCGTTGAAGCGCATAAAATGCATGTGTGTACCGCTTATCCACGGCTGCATGGCCAGCACCCTGGGGCCGCTAGACGTGCGACCGGATTTCCATGTCCACGACAGTACCGGGGAAAGGAAATACGGTGAAGTCCAACAAATGCTTTGTATGGACCCACTGACTACAAGGTACAGTCGTCCCTCTCCAATCCGGCACTTGTTTATCCGGAACCCTTGCCAACCGGCGCACTTTCTGACGAAACCGATTTTTTTCGTTCAATTCCTACATCGTAATCCGGTACTTGAATTCCGCCTCCGGCAGTGACTTTTTGAAACGAATCGCTCAAACTGCACGTAGTTTGATTTCATAATCCGGCAGTCGTAAATCGCGTACCGCACAGGTGCACTCCAGGCTAGGCCAGTCTGGTCAATGTTGTCCAGGAGACAACGGCAGTCAACCATACTTTCTTATTTTACTATTTTTAGCAAGGAGTAGTGTCCTGCCAATTTTCAGGTGTGTGTGTGCGCGTGTGTGTGCAAGAGTACATGTGAACATGTTCTCTGTTTTACTTTATCACTTTACTAGCAGCACCCCCGGCCAGCGTTGCCTGGCCGAACGTGGCATGCGGGTGAAGCAAGTACTGTAAATATACAAATTTTCGGCAGCTATTTAATTTCGGCTATATTCGGCACCGACCCAAAACGCCTAAATTAAATCGCCAATGAAATTTTTCACAGCATCTGTCGCACTATGCCGGTATACCATGCCCTCTATAGCTGATCTACCCCACGCCGAAAATAAATCGCCACTGAAATCAAAAATCGTGAAGTGCCGAAATTTTGCAGCGCCGAAATTTTGTATATTTACAGTACATGAACAGCACACGTGCTCAGCACGTGGTGGTGGCCAGACCGCTGAAGTCCTGGTGAGGGAGGTTCTTCATCGTTGGAAGGAGAAGGAGGGACGTCTGTTACGCCTTCGGGAGGCTGGTCAGGGTTGTCCATCACCTGGTGGCGGATGAAGCGGCTCAAAAAATTCATAAAAATAATTACGAACAAAAGTGCGATGCGCTCTTCACTGCAGATCAGATGCAGAGTGCAGTCAGTGCAGATCTTTTGTATCATTTTGTTGCAGATGTTTTTATTTGCAGAGAACGGTTCACGTGGTCCGCAGCGCTTGTGCGGCTGCTAGTGCTACCTATGGCCTAGGCTAGGTGGCTACATATACATGATTCGCACGCTTTCGCGTGCTCAGTGCTTCTGCGCGCGGCTGCTACTGCTACTCGTACTGATCGTGTCTGCTACCTACACACACACACGTCACAGGTACTAGGTGCCTCTTCTAGACTTTAGTATGGCCTAGGCTAGAACGTGGCATGAACAGCACACGTGCTCAGCACGTGGTGGTGGCTACACGATTCGCACGCTTCGCGTGCTCAGTGCTTCTGTGGCTGCTTCCGCTAGCTACACGATTCGCACGCTTCGCGTGCTCAGTGCTTCTGCGGCCGCTAGCTACACTGTTCGCACGCTTCGCGTGCTCAGGGCAGCGCTGCTCCGCAGGATGGCCTGAGCGTAACACACAGACACACGTCACAGGTGCCTCTCTTTTATAAGTAAAGAAAGATAGTAGTCGAACACAGACTCAGTGTGTCAATCTAGGCCATAGGCATAGGCTACACGATTCGCACGCGCGGCTGCTAGTGCTACCTACACACACACACAGTGCTTCTGCGGCCGCCAGCTACACTGTTCGCACGCTCCGCCTGCTAGTGCTACCTATGGCCTAGGCTAGAACGTGGCATGAACAGCACACGTGCTCAGCACGTGGTGGTGGGTACACGATTCGCACGCTTCGCGTGCTCAGTGCTTCTGTGGCTGCTTCCGCTAGCTACACGATTCGCACGCTTCGCGTGCTCAGTGCTTCTGCGGCCGCTAGCTACACTGTTCGCACGCTTCGCGTGCTCAGGGCAGCGCTGCTCCGCAGGATGGCCTGAGCGTAACACACAGACACACGTCACAGGTGCCTCTCTTTTATAAGTAAAGATAGTAGTCGAACACAGACTCAGTTTGTCAATCTAGGCCATAGGCATAGGCTACACGATTCGCACGCGCGGCTGCTAGTGCTACCTACACACACACACACAGTGCTTCTGCGGCCGCCAGCTACACTGTTCGCACGCTCCGCCTGCTAGTGCTACCTATGGCCTAGGCTAGAACGTGGCATGAACAGCACACGTGCTCAGCACGTGGTGGTGGGTACACGATTCGCACGCTTCGCGTGCTCAGTGCTTCTGTGGCTGCTTCCGCTAGCTACACGATTCGCACGCTTCGCGTGCTCAGTGCTTCTGCGGCCGCTAGCTACACTGTTCGCACGCTTCGCGTGCTCAGGGCAGCGCTGCTCCGCAGGATGGCCTGAGCGTAACACACAGACACACGTCACAGGTGCCTCTCTTTTATAAGTAAAGATCACTGTGTATATTCCCGGAGTACAATTGAGAATATAAAGCCGTGCACCAAATACTTGGGTCGACACGGAAAAACCCTGCGTTTTGACGTACATATGATACATGCATGCAATTGGGTAGGGCTGGGTCAGAGGGCAGGATTTCTTAATCCAGCACCCTCGTTAATCCAGCAGCAAACGCCGTAGCAAAAGGTGCCGGATTAGAGAGGGACGACTGTACTCAGTATTCACGCTGGCTACTCAAGTTACAGTGAAGATTTTTTGTATTGCGGGAATCTCATGAAGTACGAGGTGAATTGCTATTTCTGGACATTGGACATTTTTGGACATTTCGAGTAAAATAATTTTTCGTCGCGTGTAGAGTCAAGTCAGTCAGGTTGATGAAGTTTTTTCTTGTTGTAGTTGACAGCTGGGCTGTTGTAGTTTCTCCTCGTGTCGGTGCCTTGTTGATAGCCTTTTCGTGGGAGGCATTTCAACGAGTTTTGTGGTACTATGTCGCATGAGAATTTTGAATTTTGAGTAAAATAAGAAGTAATGGACGAATCGTTGGCTTCCCCATGTGCCCTCCACTTCAGACGCTGTATAGTCTTGGACCTGTTGGCTGGAAGTGTGAAGAGGCCAACTGCAGTCCACCAATAGAAAAAATAACAAAAATGGTGCAGTATAGGATGCCTATTGACGCTATTTTACTTTCATGTCCAGAATTCCATACACTGAAATTTAGGCCAAAAAATTGGCCTGTCGAAAACATCCTGCTATAAAGTCTCTGGGATCACAGCATGAGCAATTGTCACATATTTGGAAAGATGAAGGATTAGGCCATAAAATAGATACAAATAGATATGAAAAATGTAAAACACACAGCCAGTGGGCCTCTATTTTATTTTCATGTCCAGAAATTGCTATTCACCTCGTACTTCTGCAAGCCAGACCCTGGACAGCAGATGTGCCTGCAGCAGTGCACCACGCACAGCGCTAACACAAGCGCATTATAATAATATCTGGTGATCATCATGCTGCAACTGGTGTTTTCCATACTCTGCAGTTTGTCTTGGAGACAGCTACGTAATCATTAGTGGATATCGTAACAAGTTCCTCGTTTGACTAGTCAGTATCAGATCTCATTCGGCCCTGGAGTGGACGCTGCTGACTAGTCAAACGAGGAACTTGTTACGATATCCACTAATGATTACGTAGCTGTCTCCAAGACAAACTGCAAATGGAAAACACCAGCTCAGTGCTTCATTTACTCACCAGTAAGCTTGGCACACTTCATCCAGGTGGGAGTCATCGCCTCGTACTGTGGATATTCAGTGGGCGGCGGTGTCGCAGCGCTACCTTCCAACAGGTTCGCCAAGGGGTCCGACCGATTTCTAGATGAATCCGCAAGGTAGCGTGTGGTGGTCGGAACAGATGCGACCAGTTGCACTACCATTAGAACCAGCGCTACGAGCAGCTTCATTCTACTGCAGTGAGGAGTCGACATCCTCATGCTTCCGTGATGACCTGAGCAACGACAGCAACACCGAAAAGACAATTGGCATCCATTGCTATAACTAAAATCAGAATGATGCCGTACATTTCCCTTCGGTGTGATGGCAGGGCGCACCCATTCAATCTACAATCAAATCATTGGGGCACCTTCGCCCGGTTAACAAATACACACACAAAGCTACTGGTGTAGCGCCCTCAGTGAAGATCATTTCACCGTAGGCTGCTTAGGGAATCCGGCTTCGCAACACACCACGAATAACTGAACGAAATGCTTTGGAACATGCACCAAGAAGCCCCAACCGACAAAGACAAATCCACTGTGCGGCGAAAAGAGGAGTGCGACCACAGAGCACGAAAATAGCACCAACATGAGTCTAGTGTCTACCTAGCCAGCACCCGACGGATCGGTGAGCTGATAATGATAATAACCACAGGTGGGTGCGAAACGGCGTCTCCAATGTGCAATCACTTACCGGGATTTCGTCACCTTTGGATGCTTGCTTGCCAACGACACGAAACGAGAAAAAACGGCGTGATAGATCAAACACCTCTCACTCGTTCTATTCGAAACGGCAGCGAAGTTATTTGTTGCAGGTCGGTGATCAACATCGGACTGTCCTTGACACAAGCTCGCTCTACCCTGCTACATGTACCGAGCTAGACTGTCGTGGACATGGAAATCCGTTTACACGTCTAGCGGCCCCAGGGCGCTGGCCATGCAGCCGTGGGCAGTACACACATACGCGCTGCAGCTCGCTGGTCGCATACATCATTACCATGATTACATGTACACTCATACCTCTCTTATCCGAGCGCTTCGGGACCGGACACTGCCCGTAACTTCGAGGGTGCCCTTAACTCCGAATCATATACATCTTGATGGGGAAAAGGCCATCGATATGGCATATGACGTCGATATTTCTACGAAAAGTGACAAAAGAGTAGTAATATTTCCTCTGAAACTCGCCCAAATAGTGCCCGGTAGACCGAAGTGCCCGTAACTTCGAAGTCCGGATAACCGAGGTATGAGTGTATGACTGTTTATTTTAGTTATTTTATTTGAACAAACGGCGAGGACTCCGAGGATAGGAGACAACAATTATTTGATAACCGCAATCAGTAATACAAGCTGGATCGACATTTGTGTTAGGCCTTGACGGATTATGCTAGCATAATTTTTCGCATAATTCCTACCAAAATCGAATAATCGCATAATTCGAGGCAAATTGAATACGAATCGCATAAATTGGAATAATCCGACTGTTCGCATCAAATTCCATACAGCTGTACATGTTTTACAAGTACAAGTACAAGTAGATGCACCAGGAAGTCGTAGGTTTACGACTCCCTTGATAACATGCCCAGTCCACTACAATCAGTGACCATGGTGACGGTCGTAGCTAGGTCGGACGGTGCGTTGACCCCGTTGAACTTTTGCTACTACAGTACAACGCCCTCTACAAAAAATTCCCCTGTTATTTTGCACAGAGGACCATCATATACATTAGCAGCATATGTGAGCATGATGCGGCATAATATGATAACTTTTAGCATAAAAATAGCATAATTCTGCCATTTTGTCAGCAATGCGAAAAGCATAATTTCACGAGAATAATAGCATAATCCGTCAAGGCCTATACTTGAAAGTACTTTACTCAGGCTATTGTTTTCCATTTCCGCTCCTTTATTGGCATCATTAATTCATTATGCACAAGAACACGCTCATTATGAGTTGCGATACGAGCAACTATTGTGCTTTTTCTGAAAATATGGATGCGATTTCAGCAACTTTCACTTGTTTTGGCATGGTTGCAAAAAGCATAAGTTGCGAAATATTTTGGCATCTTTGGGAAAGGGCTATGCATGGGCACAAGTTGAAGAAGAAAGTTCATAAAACAACGCCACACTCACAGACTGGTATTGTAGACCTACTATGTGTTAATAGGAACACATGTCAGCAACTGTGGATACCCGGTATCAGCATGGTCCTGAAAGAGCAAAGTTTACAGTTGCACACACGGCATTGATGGTGGGCCATGTCCGAACAGTCGGTGGATCTGCGGGCTAGCAGAGTAACGTTTGGAGCAATGAAACGATGCATGAGTCTTTGGACTGAGGAAAGTAATACTTCAGTAAGTATCAAAAATCAAGATAATCTGATTCTGCTGTGGAGAGAATTCAAGATTTTGCGCAACAAAGGCCGAGAAACGCCACTCTACGTTACGTAGGGAAGAACAGGTCATATTATAGGGGTAAGGCACTTCAGCGCAGCCGACCAAACCGTCTCAGCTACCCCACAGACTGGATACACCAGAGGGAGCTCAAAGGATTAGAAAAAGGAAAGAGAAAAAGGAAGAAATGTACAAAGGCGAAGGAATGAGAACGAGAACAAGCGGCAAAAAAGGAAAATGTCAGTAATTTCAATTCACAAGGCAATTCACAAGGCAGAACAATAGAGACCAAAAAGCTTTCTCGTTACTCCGAGCTTCGTGTTCAAAAAACACTCACATCCCAATACAGAAGGGTACGAAATGAATACCGACCTACGTGTACATGTATATGTGCAATGTATTCTGCTCTTGCTCCATTACACCCTGCTATTTTCTGGTGTGGTTTGAACACATGAATTATGCCCGAAACATAGACGACACGATCTGCAGAAACTAATCATTCTACATGGAATACACGCGGTATATAACTGAACAGAAGTGTAGAGTTGGCAAGCGACTCGTAGCTGTGTGTACTACCAAGAGTGCATAAACAAAAAAATTGTTTATGGACTCTTGGTACTAGTCTCTACCCTACACGAAGCAGCAGAAAGAATTCAAATGCACCGTATTCGACTATAACCTAGAGTAGCCGTTATACATGTATGCCCTGGCTTAAACATATAATGAGAGGATTTTTGCAGGCTTGCAGCATTGAGGTCATACATTTTGTACATTCAGTGTATACATGTATCATGGTTATGTACTATTTTATTCTACATGTACACGACCATATAAGTAGGACGCTGGCTGCTCTCAGAGTCGGAGCATTGCCGCTGGCCTACTCATCCCCGGCCAATTCAACAGACTCACCGGCGTTGCTGAGACAGAAAAATGGATGCCACTCTTTTGATCCATCCACCCATGCAGTAGGCAGGCTGACGACTCCAAGCGGATAGCCTGGGTAAAAGGCGAGCACACTGAGCCTCTTCCAGACCAGGTCCAGCGTGACATACACTTGAACCTTCTGCTTCCGTTTCACTAGCGTGATACTGGGAAATAGGTCATTGTGTCGAGCTTGATCACTCCCATTGCATAACCACACGCCATGGAAATGCTCCCATATCTGCACAGATCCTCCTGCTTGCCCCCGTTGTTCTGAGAGGGTAGCGACGCCCACTAGAAGATCAAGGCGATCCTCCCAGTTCAGGAGGAACTTCCAGACTGAGAGATGTATACCTCCATTGAAGGACAAGTCACAGAAGGCTGTGGATGGTTGTGATTGTGTAGCGTGTACTGAGCAGCTATTCCTCGACATGCGAAGCGATGGCGAACAGTGAGTATTGTTGAATTTTGGCATTTTGATTCTAGGATGGGATATTCTGGACATGTTGCCTTCAGGTGATGACCAACATAGAATGTACATGAGGCCATAATGCAATGGGAGCTCCTGACTTTCCCACACACCGACCTTTCCTGCCTTGCTGGGAGTCAACTGCAATTTTTCTACGAAACCGAAGACATCTTTAAGAGAAGCGTGGAAATTGCTTTCCACATATTTGGATGGCAATGGCTGTCCATCAAATCCCTCCAGAGCAAACTCGAAAAAGAAGGTTGGATAACGACTGGGTTCATCGACCCACGTCTGATGCACGGTGACATTGTGGATGTTCACTTTTGTAGTGAAGACCTTTGCTTGAGACTCGACACACATTTGAATGGTTTCCACTGCATCCTCAGGGATACTGACACCCAGCTTACCCGTTATGTGTGCCACAGGGGTGTTCAGATCTTCAGGTTTCATATCACGTGCAGCCATGATGACGCTACCATGCAGGGACAGGACATGCGAACCCATCACTGTTAGCATGGGTGAGGAATCTGCGGATGATGCATTGCTCTCGCCAAAGCGCTCAGTAATCGTCTTGAGTGTCCTCATACGAAGCAGTTTGTCATGCACACGCCTTTGCTCCGATTCCAAAACGTTGATATTCGTCCAGCGGTGTTGGTCAATAGTGTCAATGTCCTGTTGCTTTTTTTTCTCCAGGACTTTAGCCAATTCGTCATAGAATGCAGCTACATTCTGTGATGCCTTCTCCGCTTGCTTGTTCACGGCTTCAACGGCACTGCTCAGATCATCCAATCGCTGCTCCAGTAGACCAACATCAGACAAACCAGGCAATGCAGTCAACTTGTCCACAGTGTCTCGAATGTCTTTCCGCTGTTCCCGTAATGTTTCTGAAATCGCTGTAACATCGTGTTTCTCAACAAGGTGTGTGGTAGCACACAATCCGCATAGTGGACTTGAGCAAGAATTGCAATACAGCGACATAATCTGGTTATCGTGAATAGAGCACGTGACGGGTTCATCGTCCTGTGTCTCCTCCACTGAGTTCGCCCCCGAGTATAATACACCAGCGGATGGTGGTAAGGCCTGCCAAAGGGGTTGACGCGAAGTAACTCGGCTATTGGCTAGCTCAGTATCGTCGCCACAAAGGACACAATGTACGCTGGCGGTGTCAGGGTGCACGCCATCTCTCAGACACCCTTCGCAGAGAACGTGGAGACACTTGAGCAATCGACCATCGTCTGGCTTCTCAGACTCGCATTGGACGCAGGCAGTGGCTGACTTGAACATTGTGACCAGAAAACTCTGAAAATGCTACGGTTATAGGGTAGCGGGAGATCAGACCTCCGAACAGTGAAATGAACGACGGCACGCTTCCACGAACAAGCTGATGTGACTGCAGACAATGCAATGCTTTCCGCGTGGCAGACTTTCATTGAAAGTTTCAATGGACTATCGAAACATTGAATGACTTGCCTTCACTCTTCAGCAGAGGCCTATGCCTAGCGCCTGGCTCATGACATGAGTCACAACGATTGCATGCTATACTACTGTCGCGGACATGGAAATCCATTCGATTGACCGGGGCCGGCGCCCTCAGCGCGTACAGAACGCTGGGTGCAGTGCACATGTTGATTCAATGCGACCAGCACGCTGCAGCGCATAAAAACTTCCTTATTGGCCATGCATGGGCCATCGTGGAAATAAAGAATAATAATAAAATCCATGTGTATACCATACCCCTTATCCACGGCTGCATAGCCAGCGCCCTGGGGCCGCTAGACGTGTGACCGGATTTCCATGTCCACGACAGTAGTATTGTTCTGTTTCCATATTCAGGTCTGCAAGATTAGTGCTGTCCGGGCACTATCCTAGCAGTAGCAGAAGTCATAATCATTACAGTCATGTACATAATTTAGGTCTACGCTCCACACTCGCGGACGCAGTAACATGACGCCTTTCTATTTAAAAATGCCAACTTGCTGTTCTCAGACAAGCTGCTCGCGTTTACCATGGTTTACCGGTTCAGTCCTACATGTAGTGTAGTAGATCCACTAGTACTAACAGAACAAAATTAATGTGGTAGACCTAATAATAATAATTCGCGGGATTCGCGTTGGCATCGCTTGAATGTTCAGAAACACACAAACTAGTGGTAGACCTACAAAATTTAAATACAATCAATTCATACTGCTCAATGAAATCCAGTTGTGTTTCTCGAGTACGCGCCTGGCGTTGCGCAGCCCTAGACCTGCGAACACTGGGCTGCTAAAAGTAAAAGATGCAAGGCGCCAACTAACTGGACTCTCGCGAATGGATTTCGAGCAGCACTGTACATGTACTCGTACTGATGTACTTGAAGTTGATGTACACTTCGTGAAGTACTAGTACTACTACTAGTGTAGCGTTGGCACGCTAGTAACTAACTTACACAGCTGCAGCGTGTCTTTCAATGTATTGGTCACGCGTGTTGCACCGCACCCTGCACTTGCAACTCTTACTACCATGCTTGCAGACCCATGACGTGCATAGTAACTAGTCTCACTGTGTTCATGTATTACTCCCATAACACACTAGGATGACCTGAGGAATACTAGCACATGTACCCTGTAGACCCTTTTGATACATTTCACTTTCGACCTCCTTTTCATTTATCTACACACATCCTAATGAGACTTCCTTAGAATTCCTAATGGCTGTCTTCCCGGTACCACTTTTACGCCCATTGCCCACACTGTTATTCAGCTCCTTCTTCTGCATAGAATCAAATGGCATTCCTTGTGCAATGACTGTAGCCCACACATCTACTTTGACCTTTCTTCTTCTCTCTGCTGAGCTTTGCCGTGACCATTGCTGTTGCAGCACGTATGCTGTCTGCCTATAAAAGCTGCTGTTCACAATTCTCTATACGCCAGTTAGAAACTACAGTTCAGTTAGAAACGACAGTTAGAAAGGCCAGTTAGAAGGGCCAGTTAGAACCTTCAGTAATGATTATGTCAGTTTAGAGTTAGAGTCAGAGTTAATGTTTAATAATTATTAACAGTGTGTTCACTGAGACCCGTCTGCATTTGCCTCCGAGAGAGACTGCGGCCCGTTACAGAATTGGTGCCAGCGGTGGGATTCGTTACAGAAATGGTGGCAGCGGTGGGATTCGCTACAGAAATGGTGGCAGCGGTGGGATTCGCTACAGAATTGGTGGCAGCGGTGGTACAATTTTATAATTGCTAGATTCGAACCCACCTAGTATCTGTATTGCATTGATGGCAGCGACGCTACAGAATCGATGGCAGCGGTAAATTGTTTTATTGGTGTAACCGATACCAGCATGGCCCAACCTGATGCGTCAGTCGCCGCTACTCCTTCGCCCGCCACGTCTCCCCCAAGCCCGAAATGATGACGGACAGCGTCTCTACCGATCAAGCTCCATGTCCAATGTAAGCTTATTCCCGATATGGCATTTTCTTTCCTGTCTTCCTTCAGTCTTCCTGTTCTCTTCAGTCTTCCTTTATGCGAGTGTGTGAATCCAGTTTAGTTAGGTAGGCGTCCGATCATGGTGAGCCACGGTCTATCTAACTAACCTGGGATAATGTGTGTTAGAGTGCCCTTTGTCCAGTTCAGTTTGGAACTGTGAACTATTTTTATGGCTCAAACGCCATGGTGGTACAGCAAGTGTGCTGTGAGTCCTATTTGGAGGACAAAATTTTTCCCCTTTGGCCCCGTGAGATCGTGTGAACCTGGAGTGATGCTATTTTATGATTTTGTTATCAGTTCATTTCTTCTGTCTACTCTCAAAGGTTATCATTTCCGATATTATTTTGCCATATTCCGGTTGACGCTGTACCAGTATGATGCGCTATCTCCTATAATGTTCAATGATTATGTTCGCACCACCTCTCAGTCCTGTGATATGCTGCTGCGCTCCAGCCAGTACTTCAATGTCAGTTGTCCTCATTGCGTCCGGATATCAACCGAGGCTGTTCACGAATACATACCTGTATATGCACGTCATCCATTCTGCCTATCTTCTTCCGTCGAGGTTATTCCGACGCGACCATGCATGCCGCCCGTGTCTTCTAATCTCAGTCGATTGTCGGAGTCCGGCTATCAACTTATGTCACTCGCCCAGTCTAGTCTGCGCATCTCCATGATCTTCTATCAGTGTTCGTCACTTCGTGTTCTGCTACTCCTACTGTAATCACGAGGGCGTGATTGTGTTTAAAGAAGGAAGGTGTAGCGTTGGCACGCTAGTAACTTACACAGCTGCAGCGTGTCTTTCAATGTATTGGTCACGCGTGTTGCACCGCACCCTGCACTTGCAACTCTTACTACCATGCTTGCAGACCCATGACGTGCATAGTAACTAGTCTCACTGTGTTCATGTATTACTCCCATAACACACTAGGATGACCTGAGGAATACTAGCACATGTACCCTGTAGACCCTTTTGATACATTTCACTTTCGACCTCCTTTTCATTTATCTACACACATCCTAATGAGACTTCCTTAGAATTCCTAATGGCTGTCTTCCCGGTACCACTTTTACGCCCATTGCCCACACTGTTATTCAGCTCCTTCTTCTGCATAGAATCAAATGGCATTCCTTGTGCAATGACTGTAGCCCACACATCTACTTTGACCTTTCTTCTTCTCTCTGCTGAGCTTTGCCGTGACCATTGCTGTTGCAGCACGTATGCTGTCTGCCTATAAAAGCTGCTGTTCACAATTCTCTATACGCCAGTTAGAAACTACAGTTCAGTTAGAAACGACAGTTAGAAAGGCCAGTTAGAAGGGCCAGTTAGAACCTTCAGTAATGATTATGTCAGTTTAGAGTTAGAGTCAGAGTTAATGTTTAATAATTATTAACAGTGTGTTCACTGAGACCCGTCTGCATTTGCCTCCGAGAGAGACTGCGGCCCGTTACAGAATTGGTGCCAGCGGTGGGATTCGTTACAGAAATGGTGGCAGCGGTGGGATTCGCTACAGAAATGGTGGCAGCGGTGGGATTCGCTACAGAATTGGTGGCAGCGGTGGTACAATTTTATAATTGCTAGATTCGAACCCACCTAGTATCTGTATTGCATTGATGGCAGCGACGCTACAGAATCGATGGCAGCGGTAAATTGTTTTATTGGTGTAACCGATACCAGCATGGCCCAACCTGATGCGTCAGTCGCCGCTACTCCTTCGCCCGCCACGTCTCCCCCAAGCCCGAAATGATGACGGACAGCGTCTCTACCGATCAAGCTCCATGTCCAATGTAAGCTTATTCCCGATATGGCATTTTCTTTCCTGTCTTCCTTCAGTCTTCCTGTTCTCTTCAGTCTTCCTTTATGCGAGTGTGTGAATCCAGTTTAGTTAGGTAGGCGTCCGATCATGGTGAGCCACGGTCTATCTAACTAACCTGGGATAATGTGTGTTAGAGTGCCCTTTGTCCAGTTCAGTTTGGAACTGTGAACTATTTTTATGGCTCAAACGCCATGGTGGTACAGCAAGTGTGCTGTGAGTCCTATTTGGAGGACAAAATTTTTCCCCTTTGGCCCCGTGAGATCGTGTGAACCTGGAGTGATGCTATTTTATGATTTTGTTATCAGTTCATTTCTTCTGTCTACTCTCAAAGGTTATCATTTCCGATATTATTTTGCCATATTCCGGTTGACGCTGTACCAGTATGATGCGCTATCTCCTATAATGTTCAATGATTATGTTCGCACCACCTCTCAGTCCTGTGATATGCTGCTGCGCTCCAGCCAGTACTTCAATGTCAGTTGTCCTCATTGCGTCCGGATATCAACCGAGGCTGTTCACGAATACATACCTGTATATGCACGTCATCCATTCTGCCTATCTTCTTCCGTCGAGGTTATTCCGACGCGACCATGCATGCCGCCCGTGTCTTCTAATCTCAGTCGATTGTCGGAGTCCGGCTATCAACTTATGTCACTCGCCCAGTCTAGTCTGCGCATCTCCATGATCTTCTATCAGTGTTCGTCACTTCGTGTTCTGCTACTCCTACTGTAATCACGAGGGCGTGATTGTGTTTAAAGAAGGAAGGTGTAGCGTTGGCACGCTAGTAACTTACACAGCTGCAGCGTGTCTTTCAATGTATTGGTCACGCGTGTTGCACCGCACCCTGCACTTGCAACTCTTACTACCATGCTTGCAGACCCATGACGTGCATAGTAACTAGTCTCACTGTGTTCATGTATTACTCCCACACACTAGGATGACCTGAGGAATACTAGCACATGTACCCTGTAGACCCTTTTGATACATTTCACTTTCGACCTCCTTTTCATTTATCTACACACATCCTAATGAGACTTCCTTAGAATTCCTAATGGCTGTCTTCCCGGTACCACTTTTACGCCCATTGCCCACACTGTTATTCAGCTCCTTCTTCTGCATAGAATCAAATGGCATTCCTTGTGCAATGACTGTAGCCCACACATCTACTTTGACCTTTCTTCTTCTCTCTGCTGAGCTTTGCCGTGACCATTGCTGTTGCAGCACGTATGCTGTCTGCCTATAAAAGCTGCTGTTCACAATTCTCTATACGCCAGTTAGAAACTACAGTTCAGTTAGAAACGACAGTTAGAAAGGCCAGTTAGAAGGGCCAGTTAGAACCTTCAGTAATGATTATGTCAGTTTAGAGTTAGAGTCAGAGTTAATGTTTAATAATTATTAACAGTGTGTTCACTGAGACCCGTCTGCATTTGCCTCCGAGAGAGACTGCGGCCCGTTACAGAATTGGTGCCAGCGGTGGGATTCGTTACACTAGTACTAGTACTAGTAGTAGTAGTATTCCGTTCTCAAGTAGTATTCGTGGTATTAGTAAATTGGAAACCACAGTCCAAATTTAATGTTGCTCCCGTGGGTCAGGGACATGTTTGTACAACCCGGTGTTCACCGACGGTCCGTGGTTCACTCGTCTACTGTACTGTTATGTATGGGCAGAACGAACTCACGGATCCCAAATCAAAGCCCAGTACTAACCCTGTCCGGATTATGCGTTTTTTGAAGGGTCAAAATGGAAATGTTTATTTTTTGGAAATTTACCCAAAATGCTAAAAAAATCTTTTAAAAATTTTTCACCCAAAATGCGAAAATTATGCTGCCGTTACCACGGCAACCAAAATGGCGTAAAACTTGAATTGTGTACTGAGGTGATAAGTGACAAGGCCTGATAGCAGCTATAGCTATAGTGCTGATCAGCTGCATGCATGAGAAAATCACCTCAAAAATGTTGAAAAATGCTGAAAAACCCCAAAATGCGAAAAAAGCTGAAAAACCCCAAAAATGTGAAAAATACACAAATCACAATCCGGACAGGCCTCCCCAGTACTCAGTAGACTCTTCTGACAGTAGGACAAGGAACAGTAGTTGGCATCACATGCCATCAGCCCATCCCACGCACCTGTCGGTCACAAGACGTGCACGAGGCTTTCAATTTCATACGGTAGATCTACAATAAAAAATTAATAATCATCATCACATGCAACCAGGTTAACGCCTTCCAGTCTTTCTGTGTCCAGAACACAGTATCCACTGTGTGAGGGTAAGGTCCATTTTGCTACCAGGTATGGGCCCTCATCCCCTGGCCCCCTACTGTAGAAGATTAAAAAAAATTAACGTAGTAACTATTATTTACTTAGTCCGTGGGCCTGGGGGACACTGGACCTAGTCCCCCAGGCCCACGGACTAAGTACTTAGTTAATACGTTATTTTTTTTAATCTTTTACAGTAGGGGGCAGGGGATGATGGCCCATCAGTCATGAATGTTCTCATCAGTCTGCACTGGCAGATGCCTCTGATTGCCTTTGTCACCGACTCCTTGTGAAATGGCTGCAGTGCCCACCAGAACAGTAGAAGAGGTCATCCTAGACTAGTTGGCACCCAACAACCAGCACTGTTTTAAAGTCATTCACTAGATTACTGCGGATGGCTGATTCAATGTTCCGCTGTTGCAGACTATTGAGTGGTACAGAAAAGGAACATGAACGAAAAGCAATGGAAGCAGAGGGGGAGGGGGGGGGGGTGAGATCCCGGATGCTAAGAGCTACACGCACAAGAAGCAAGTGTGAAAGTGAGGTTGGCAGCCTGTCAGCCATGCATGGGCACAAGTTGAAGAAGGAAGTTCATAAAACAACGCCACACTCACAGACTGGTATTGTAGACCTACTATGTGTTAAGGCCAAGTAAAATAAAATCCCAGTTTATCGTCCTTTTTTTCACAAAAATCGGGGAGGGAGGGCGGATTTTATTTTTATTTTTTATTTTTTTGATGTGCTACAGACTAGTATAGTTCTTGGTAAACAATGACACATCATGTGCAACAATCTGCAACAGAATAGTGGTAGTGTATGGAATACACAATGCTATAACAGTTATATGTACATAAACAATTACATGCAAAATCTTTGGATCGACAGATTGTCACTCCACTCATAAGACACAAACCCCAATACTGTTTGGTTCACACAGACCACCAGATAAATGATAGAAAGCTGCAGAAGGGAAAGAACCAGTCAGGACAGTAACCAATAGTCAGTCATACGACGAAGCTGTGTTTTCAAGCCTTAGCCGACGTAAAAAATCAAGCTTTTTGGCAAAATTCTAGATTTAAAAAATAAAAATAAATTCCGGGCGGCCTCGAAAAATGGGGCGGGCGGGGACGATAAACTAGGATTTTTTTTTACTTGGCCTAATAGGAACACATGTCAGCAACTGTGGATATCAGCATGGTCCACATGTCAGCAACTGTGGATATCAGCATGGTCCACATGTCAGCAACTGTGGATATCAGCATGGTCCACATGTCAGCAACTGTGGATATCAGCATGGTCCTGAAGGTATGTATGCAGAGCTCTAGTACATACACACACGCACACATACACACACGCACACACTCGCACACGCACACACTCGCACACACACACACACACACACACACACACACACACACACACACACACACACACGCACACACACACGCACATACAGCCAGTCGTCATAGCTGCACCATGTACATACTACTCGTAAAGGTTGAAGCCGGTGGCTTGGCTGGGATTGCTTCACCTATTGTCCCTTGAGCATGTAGTCGAATAGGAGAGGGTCTCGAAGTCGATTCTGACCAAGTTTTGCTTCATCCTGGACATGCAAAAAGTATGATAGACACTAGTTTAGAAATCCCGGGTAACGTTTGTGTGTGTGTGTGTGTGTGTGTGTGTGTGTGTGTGTGTGTGTATGTGCGTGTGTGTGTGTTTGTGCATGTGTGTTTGTGTGTTTGTATGTGCGTGGCTTTGTGTGTGCGTGGTTGTGTGTGTGTTTGTGTGTGTGGGTGCATGCATGTATGTATATTTGAAAGAAAGAGAGAGAGAGAGAGAGAGAGAGAGAGAGAGAGAGAGAGAGAGAGAGAGAGAGAGAGAGAGAGAGAGAGAGAGAGAGAGAGAGAGAGAGAGAGAGAGAGAGAGAGAGAGAGAGAGAGAGAGAGAGAGAGAGAGAGAGAGAGAGAGAGAGAGAGAGGCGGAGGGGACTTGGAGAGACATAAATAGATAGGCGGGAGGGGGGGGGGGGAGGAGCAGAGGAGGGCAATGTAGAGGCTAGTTATTTTCAAGTCACGTAGGCCACACACTGGAGCGTTGATGCATTGCGATTTGCAAAGTGTGATCAACTGGACAGATGTGGAGAGTCAATTCATCTATTCAAGGACATGGGCTGTGGTGTGTCTTCTAGACAGTGCACGCTCACTGGATGTTCTCATGCCTGGACAGTTTGATCGGCAGTGGAGGACGGTTTGTCGCTATACAGCTTAGACACTCTGTAGAGGTTATAATGGTAAAATACATCACTTTGTGCTTGTAAATATGAACAACCCAAGTACGGTTGGACCATATACTCTCAGTGTATATCGTCAGTATCACACTGAGCAAGACACGCATGGACAAACCAACCCCACACCGACTATGCTTCGGCTCAGTACTCTACCGCAGAACTCACCTTGTCTCCACTTTGTGTACTTGCATCGCGCGGCAGCGGTTCAGCCTCTGCTGCCGCCGACGCCACTGCCAACTCAGAGATCAATGGCATTTGCTGCTGCTGCTGCTGCTCCTGAGAATCTGCATGTGAACAAGCAGGGTCGACGTGATGGCTGAGACTCGTCTCAGCAACCATGCTGTCTTCCACCTGCTGCTGTTGCTGCTGCTGGCGGAAGTAGAAATTGTGCAGGTATGAACCAGAGCGGAGGCCTCGCCGGCAGCTTAAAGCATTACACCAGCTGCAGATCAGACGCGCAGTGATCAGTGAAAATGTGAAGAGAGTGACGAGCGAGAAGAGGACGATATTGAGCCAGTCACGTGTTTCAAACACATCATGTCTGTGCCAGCGTGGTATGTCCAGTTTCACCACTTGCAGAATACCCAGGACGATCAGCAGCAGAAGCAACAGCAGCTCGTACACGTTGTTGAAGTCCTTCACTCGCCCTAGCTTGGCGTCACGGCGAAGAGGCCTACAACGGGTGCAGGTATAGATAGATGTACACAACACTGGACGTAATCAGGGTTTGCACAGCCAGCGCTACACAATGTCACTATGGTCTCAACCCTGATGCTACACTAGGAGTACACCAATGTGTACCATTGCACTTAGGGTGCGTTCGAATTGTCACTCTTTGACTTCCGAGGAATTTCGTTTTTCTGGAGAGGAGGCTTATTGGCCTCTTCAGAAAACGAAAGTCTCCTCGAAACGCCTCAAAACTGCACAACCTCATCCGATGGGAGAGGTGGATTAGTTTCGAAGAGTTTGGAATCGAGATGGTCGATCGGATCGGACGTCATTATCGCCGTGACAATTCCACTGAAAAACTCTATTATTATTTATTATACGCATTCCCGCGTTGAAGTGTAGCAGCAGTATGCTGCGTCCACAGCTACGCTTATGCAGAATGGCTTGGGTGAGAGGAGAGGGGAGAGAAAGCAACAAGGCAACCAACATCAATGAAATAGGTCACAACAACATGAAGAGAACCAACCTACATATGCATGATTGCACAAGAATGGAGACGACAAATGGCTATAATCATTGTGCCACAAAACCGGTACACAGGAGATCTGTCGACAATGTAACGAAACATAAAACTCAGTTACTCAATACAGGTTCCACTAAATTACAAGAGAACAACGCTACAACATTAGAAGTGCCGCTAAATTATCGCAAGTGTAGAGAACGAGTCCAATACAAATGAAAACCATGAACAGACTGTCCCGAAGTTATTTTGGGAACAAATTGTACTGCATGTACGTGCTGACACTGACGCTGACGGAACACAAATTTGAGTTGAATACGCACGAAATCTTGTACATCATTATGCGCCGGTGTTGTGGAGTAAGCAGGTACGTCAGTCACCAATCCAGCTTCAGCTCCGCGCTCGCTTCAGCAGAATGTTGCCCGCGTTTGCTTTGCCTCCACACGGATAGACGACCAGCTTCAGAGTTCCGCAGCTCCGTGGCCGTAAGGTCTTGATATGCGCCGTTAGTGCCGTCAAGTCTCAGTCCACCTCTCACAGCAAGCCGCTCTATGAAAATCTTTCTCTCTCCATTGGAGTGCTCCCCAGTTGCGCGAGGAGACTAGAGAAATTCCTCCGGTGAGTGAGGAAGAAGAGCGGAGCTACCAAACTCAACCAAAAAACTGAAAAACTCTAACATAATAGAAACCATTCTAACGGGACACTTCAACTGATCTCTTTTAGTTTAGTTTTATTCCACGCAGTAATGGCTGGGGTAGCCAATGACCACTTTGTGTAGAGATTGCAGGGTTTTTATAGCCAACCTCGGCTAAGAATTTGTTCAAAAAGTTGATAAAGACAATTCGAACGCACCCTTGGAATCACAGAATGACTGACAGTTACTACCAAGGTGTATTGCCACACTTAGAATCACACAGTGACTACTACCAATGTGTATTGCCACACTTAGAAACACACAGTGACTACTACCAATGTGTATTGCCACACTTAGAATCACACAGTGACTACTACCAAGGTGTATTGTCTACTACACCGGCCCCTGAACTAATGGACATAAACCCAGTCTTGATGACAAAAAGGGATGTCCCATGAAAACACAGTTTTTAAAAAAAGTGACACTGGCTGGCACTCTACTATTTCATTTAATAGAAATAGACTTTTCGGGGAAATTTCAAACATTCACTGAAATGATGTTTTGTGTTGAACGCGATAGTCGGTTGTTAGCGTGTGCCGCTTACAAATTATTATGTTTCACTCAATTAAGCTGCGGGATGCATCGCACACGATTGCAGGTCATACTGATCTCAGTATGTAAGACGGTTAGACTTTCAGCTACACTGCACGGAAAAAGCTTGTCTTGGCTTACCTGCAGACGGCGTGCAGAGCGACATAGACGCACAAGAACAGTATTGATGCCATTCTCCGACTCAGCAAATCGACAATGAGCACGCTTGACATGCTAAGAATAAGGCGGCGGGCGTAATTGATGCCCACCCACCACTGGCGATCATCCTCATAGATATGTGTGGCCTCGTCAATGAAGACCTTGAGGGCCGGGCAGAGGTGAAGTGGTCGCCATACCAGTAGAATCGGCACGGGCAGGCAGATCAGCACCAGCACCAGGATTGCAGACAGCATGTAGGGTAGGTGTGACCGGCTGTAGCATTCCACGTAGCCATCAAGATAGAGCACCTGTCGCTGACTGGTTAAGGGCACACAGCGCAGCAGCAGGAAGCACAGGCAGGGAAGATGCGCTGTAGAGCAGAGGATGACCAGCCAGAAGACATGCACGATGGAGTTGCGCTTCATCAGCCGCTTCCAGCACGACAAACCATGCCCACGCCGTGCCGCACACCACAGCAGAAACGTCAGCAGAGGCAGCATGATCGGTATGGCCATTCTACACATCACGGCATTTAGCTGTGAGGTCATGTCGAATTTACTGAAGCATATTGAACCAAGACCGAGTGTCAGGAAACGACGAACAGCCACTATAGAATCCCAAGAATTACTTCCAGACACGAAAAAGAAGACCTGTGAAGAAAAAGGGAAAGAAATACAAATTTAAAAAAAAGAGAAGAAAACACATGAGAACGAGTTATGCAGCAACTATCCACGACTGTAACAAGATGATAAACAGTCAGAAAGTGTGCTAATACGGCACCAAACTGACAGGCTACTGAGACATTCAGCGACCTGAGACCTAGCTCTAACACACCTCCAGTGCGCAAACCAACAACCTTCCAACTTGGAAAGTTCATGGTTACGTAGGACCGAAGAGAGGAAGGTGAGTGCAGCGAAAATGTGCACAAGCCAAGTCCCACGGCAACAACGAATGCCGACTGTTACAGGACGTTTTCGCTGCGCTCAACTTCCCCTCTTCGGTCCTACGTAACCATGAACCTTCCAAGTTGGAAGGTTGTTGGTTTGCGCACTGAAGGTGTGTTAGAGCTAGGTCTCAGGTCACTGAATGTCTCAGCCTGGGTACGGTAGCCTGTCAGTTTTGTGCCCTATTATCACACTTTCTGACAGTTTATCATCTTGCTGCAGTCGTGGATAGTTGCTGCATAACTCGTTCTCATGTGTTTTCTTCTCTCTTTTTACATTTGTTACTGGTTCAGTATCCGAGTTAAAATACAGATTAGTATAGATTATTTGAGAGTAATAATTCGGCTTACTCTATAACACGTTTATTTCGGTGTAACTTTATTTTCCGTACTTTTGGTAGAGAAACCAGGCACCTAAATTTTAGATTACACCTAAAAGGCACTAGAGTATGCACTGTATGTGAAGGGCAGGCTGGTCACCTAACTCTACATTACACCTGAAACCTGGCAGGTCCCTGACACCGAAATTTTAGTACACCGAAAATGACATGTTATACAGAATGAGTGCGCTGACAAATAGGATCTAACACGTTTAACTGTAACAGGTAACCATGACGAGCACGGCACATAACAGAAAAGCATGAATCAGCATGTGTACTACAACAATCAGGACTGGATACCAAATGACTGTACACTGAGGATTTGCTACCATGAATACGTACGTACGCACGTGCTCCCGACTCCCACACGCACCCTCACGATC